TTCAATATATATACTAAGACCTCATCTTTTAGTTCGTAGAAATTCCACCTGACATGCCTAGGTGAAGGCACCGCCTCAAGCAAGTGCCTGTTCGGTTGCTCACGTCTGTAGCACCCTACTAGAAACTGCTTGCTGAGCTTGATGTTGCCCTCTTTTACTCTGATAATTCGCTGTCCACCTTTTCAGGTTCTGAGGGGAGAGGGGGCCTCTATGTCTTTCAGTATACTTGCATATTCCGTGGTGCCAATATCTTTTGAGGCTTTTGCTTTCCCGATGACCACTCGAACTTCGGCACTGGAGATATAAATAAGGGCATAGTTTTTGGTTGTTTATGAATTGCTTTGGCTCCGACGAGGCGCGATCACTGAATCAGTTTCCACTCTTTCTTCGCGCTTCGCTGGGCTGGACAGGAACCTTAAGGCTGACCGAAGTTTACTCACATTGGAGGTGAAGTGACAGGTCTTAAAATTTGTTTGTCAATGCTTTCGCTTGTTTTGGTTTACCGGTTGTCGGATCTCCAAACTGGCGAATGTGGTTATGCTCCTTCTAAAGTCCTCTGTGTGTCTCACTCTAGGGCACATTGCAGTTAAGTTAAAAGTATTTTAGTCTGCCTTGGGAGGCTAGACGCGATTCGGGGGATGAGGTATAAATTGTGTTGTCTATCTGGTCCTTATTGTTACTATTGGGGTTGTTACCTTGTGGTGCTCGTTGGAAGAATCGCAGGCGACGATTGAGACTACAGCCACTTGTTCACTTACTGCCGTCCCTAAATTGGAGCGCTAAGCGTTGCGTTATCCATTGTCGACGAGTGTCAGCGCGCGCTATCCCCAAATCAACGCGTCGTAATTTTTGACGTTTTCTCAGATCCTCTCGTTTTTATTCTCGTTTCCTCTTTCACTTTTTTGTCCTTTCTCTTTTTTTCCGTCTTCCGCATCCAACTTCAACACGTAACGCCCTGTCAAAAATGAAAATTCCATTTGCTCGGCTTTAGCGCCGCGTTATTGTGGGATGCTTCATACAAATTGTATGGGCATGAGGATTTTTGACAGTTGTTTGGCGCTTGACGCGCCAATTTAGGGATGGCAGTTACAGGTGATACGCAGCCGAGAGCATGTTCTAACGTTGCACAAGCCAAGGCTCGAATTGCACGAAGCAACGACGGAACGTATCAAGAGCTGCTGGATAGCCCTCGCACGGGAGTTAGAGAAGAATATCGCATGTTGAGCCCCTTGGAGCAGTGGAGGCTCATTGGGTGGAGACTGTGGAGAGAAGCGATCAACGATTGGTGTATTTCGAAGACCTAAGGAGGGCTACATTGCCGAAACAGAATAAAATTCGGGTCCTTCCGGTACGTGGCAATGGCTTATGTGTGAATCTCTGAAGCAGCGTAGCTGATCTGGAAAATCTGGCTGTCCTAAGTATATAGTTCTTTTTGGTAGTAGTTCTCTGTACGCCTCAGAAGGGGACTCATCTTATTTTAACTAAAATCAAGTTTGAACATTTTTTTGAATTTTTTTACTTCCAAATGGCTACTGATGACTTTTGAACTATGGAATTGAGTTCTGAAGCAGAGATTTTGCTTTATGTCCCGTCCTGCTCTTTGCATACAATTCGCGATATTCATTTTCATTTTCAATTCATGCGCTGCACATACAGCAAGCAGCAGCTAATAAATTTTTTAAAAATTAATTCAATTGCCAAAAAATTATTGAGCCATGCAATTTACACTGCTACCTCTCCAAACCCGAATTCACCCACATCTCAGTGAGTTAAAAGCGCTCACGTGTGAGACAGAACCACTTCACAGTGGCGTTGACAGCCTCCGGGCGATTGTCGCTTTAATTCTTTTTGTTTTTTTTTATTTTTTGGAGAACAAATTTCTGTGGCTTTTGTTCAAGCGGAAATGTGACGTTCGTGTTAATGTAACATGCGGGCCTTCAGTTGCAGCACTACAAGTGAAATGATAAAACAACAAAAAAAAAAAAAAAAAAACGGACGCACAAAAAGAAAACAGAAAAGTTGTGGAAAAAAGCTTTGTTTGTGGCAAAAAGAAAGTGGACGCGTGCGGTGGACCATTGTTTTTACTGTTAATTTTTTTGTATTTTATTTTTGGTAAATGATTTTTGTTTGTTTGTTTTTTTCCCCCCGTTTTGCTTTTGGCATAAAGTTTGCATAATTTCCTGTCGTCATCGATATTGGCGCTTGATGTGTTGATATGAATGTCCGAATTGTCGCTGTTGCTGGCTATTTTTTTCCCCTTCCTCTTCTTCTATTTTCCATTAAATGATTTTGATATGGCGGTTTTTTGGTGCGACTGTTGCCGTCTGACTGCTGTTTGTTGGTGCTTGTATGCTGCTCCTCCTGGCTGTGTGGCTGCAGGATGGCTCTGTACTACGCACTCAAGTAGGGCCGGAAATGCCCGCAGCTTCTGACGCAAAACGTTTACCGTTTTCCATTTGTATACCTCCCACAATACTATACATGGCTTCCGTGTGCCTCCAAAGTTGGTTGTTTGCATTTTTGTGGCATTCCGCCTCTATAGTTACGAGCAGCACAATTTTTTGCTGCACTCATTTGGAATGGAATTTATGACAATTTTTTTTCGTATTTTTTTGAGTGCACTATTTTTTAGGACTTTTTTTTGTGTAAAGTTGAAAATCACAGATTGGTACCAAAGCCGCTATCCCCATGCCTATACTGGTAAGAAAAAAGTGGCAATTGGTAGGCGGGCGACAAGCGACATTCATCAGACGCTGCCGGCGATTACGCTGTGACAGCTGGAAAGTATGAGAAGTGATATGTTGGCTTACACATATCCCTTACAATATTCCGTTTTTTTCTCTCGCTTACCTCTCCCAATTTTTATCGAGTCGCAGGTGCTTCGCTAGTTGCTTTTACTTTTTTATTGCTACTGTTTGCGAATTTTCACGATTTTTTGCTTTGTAAGATAAACACAAATATTTGTTCCTGCCAAAATACCAACTACTCAGGCACATGTTGTAGGTGTGGCATCGGTTGATTTCGTTTGTGGCGCTTGCAAATAAACTGTCAATCGATTTACTTTGCAATGGCATTGTCGAAAATATGAGTTGGACGTAGGAGGAGACTATGTTGCATAAATCATGGGGCGGAATACCTTGTTAATTTTTTTTAAGTTTTTTTTTCAATACTGGTTGCACATATTTGTAAGTCCTTTGTAAACGTCGCTGATTTAACTGATGTCGCTGATGATAACTGTTAAAAATATATACATACATGAATAAGCATGTATATATGCATATATATGGTGTAGGTAGTGCGTCCAAACAGCCCCATCTATATGTATATATACACTGCCGGAACAAAGTATTGGCACAGCAAATTTTTCACAATTTATATTCTAAAAATTTTTCTGCAAATTTTTTATAAAAATATGGTTCATTCTACAACAAAAACCAATCAATTTTATTATAATAAAGTACAATTTTTAAGTAGCTAGGAATTGTTGTTGATTTTTGGCAATTTTTTTCACGCAGTCTCTTCTATACAAACATTTTTTTCGAAAATACTTTATATGGAAAAAATTGTTGTTCTGACACAAATGGAGAGATCTACACATTTGATCTACCTCGAAAGAAGCTTTTTTATGGAGAAGTACACTCGGAGGGTTGCCATTGTCTGCCGAGGGGCGACCGCTATTTGAAAAATATTTTTTTTTTTTGATGTTGCCGGGACCAGAAATTGAACCACAGGCCTCCCGCGTGGCACATAAGCATTTTCACTGTGTGGGAACCATGTAAAATAAAACCAGTTTGATCGGTTTTTTCTTAATTTCAAAATCGGGAGTCGTTTTTTTTAAACTGCAATTTTTCGAAGAACTCGAAACCGGTTTTGGAAAAAAGCGAATATGCGAACACCCTAGTAGTCACTCATTGAAGTCCCTGAAAATTTAAATAATAAATATTCGGCTTTATAACGTTAAATTTGTCCAAATTTGTGCAATTTTCATCGATGACGTTTTCGAATTTTGGACCAAAAAATAGCCGCAAGAGGCGAATCTGATTAACAAGCAGTGTAAGGCGACACTCTCGGTCGCTCTAGCCGATAGGTTAGAGGTGCGTAATACCACTCCATACGACTTGAGTTCGATTCCTGGTCCGGGCAACATCTAAATTAGCAAAAACAAAAAAAAAACATTTCTAACAGCGCGCATAGGGTTACTTGAATGATCTAGGCTGCCATAACTCAATTTTGGAAAATTTTAAGAAAATTTAAAAAAGCAGTTAGATAGATAGATAGATAGACAACATTCCGAGGAACATATTCCAGCCCCTCTCAGCTCTCTAGCTTGCACAGCGAACGCTCCCCATTGACCGGCATATTCTTACGCTGCGTATAAATTAATTTTCCCTCTTTATCATTTGTTAAAGAAATATTTTGTTTCATAATTACTTTTGTGCTCATCATAAAATATTTGAATGAAAATAAATACATATATTTAAGAAAAATGCCCAGCTCTTTAGTACCCACCGAAGCGTGAAAATTGAAATGCTTGCTTCAATTCCATTTGAATGATCTCTGTGTGGCAACAGACATTTGTATTTACGTATGAACATATTTTTTTGAGATAGCAGTTAAACTTGTGTGACATTTTCCTTCCCGCCTCTCAATGCGTAGTGACATTGTTTCCAATTGCATTTTTGTGTTGAGTTGACAACTGTCAGATAAATGAAAGGAAGACGATTTTCAACATAGAATGATGAGCGTTGTCTTTCGCTGAAAGGAAGAAATTAAAAGTGCACATGCAACGGTACTTGTGCTTCACATGTGTAGTTATATACTACCATTCTTGGTTCTAAGCCACTCTGGCATACCATGAACTTACTGCATTGCTTTAGTCTCGGATGTCCTCCATTGCTACTCAAGCAAGTGGAAAAATGCTTCCTTTGCTGTTATTTAAGAACACAAAAAACAGAAAGTCGGTTAGTAAAGTTTTCTTTTTTCCCTTTTTCTCTTTCCAGATTCTGCGTTGGCGATCGTTTCTACCTGTGTGAGAACAAAATTCTCTGCGAATATGACTATGAGGAACGTCTCGTTTTCGCCTCTATGGCCAATCATCCGATGTTGAAGCGACATGCCAGCGCCATTGGTCAAGGCTCACCGACGGGCGCTGGCGGCTTAATGGGTGGTGGCAGTCCTGGCGTACCGGGTAGTGTTGTGCAAAATGGACCGCGTACACCGGGCGATCACAATAACAACAATGGCCCACAAAGCGGTGGTGGTGGTTCGCCGTTTGGCGTTCAAGCGGCAGCTGCAGCGCATATGAAGAACTCACTGGGCGCGTCCAGCTAAAATAAAGCCTTGTCCATGTTAGCCGGCGGTGGCAGTGGCAGTGGCAGTGGCAGTGGCGGCAACAATGTCGGTGTCGGCGGCGTCGGCGTCGGCGTCAATGCAGGGGCCAGCGTCAGTGGGTGCTATTTTAATAATGGCGTAAGCGGCGGCGTCGGTATCGGTGTCGGCAGTGGTGCAAGTCCTGGAGGTGTTGGTGCTGGCGTTGGCGGTGTAGGCGTGGACGGCGGCTGTAAAAGCTACCAAAGAAAATACTATGACATAAATTGACTGAATGGTAATGGTGGTGGTGGTGGTGGTGTTGGTGTTGTTGGTAGACGTTTGCCAAATGAAGCAGCAAGTGTGGAAAGTAGTGAAAGGACATACCTAAAAGGATAATTGTAGGATGTATGTATGTACATACTTTATGTATGATGACTATGTTAGTTAGTTTGAGTGTGTGAGTGTGTGTGTACGTACGTATACCGTTGTGTATAATTAGTTGATTTAGCGTTTTTATAATTACACTCAGTTATTAATTACTTACTTTCATTGTGACTTGCGAACTGAAAGTCAGCTTAGAAATGAATTTAGTTTAAGTTGCTAGCAGGACAATATTTAATTGTAGCTTTTAATATAATTTAGTGTTTATAAATATTCTTAATTTATTGTCAAACTTATTTTAATTTTATGAAAATGATTCGTGTGCTGCATAATGAAAATCGCGGAGATTTGTTTGTGTAAATAAGTAAGTGCAAGGGATATGCGAAAATTAATTGGTCGATTGTGGATAGCAACACAACCTCAACAAGAAATGCTATACAAGTTAAAAAAAATGGAAAGTGCGTGCCAAAACATTTTGTAACCAATATTAAGATATTTTTTGCAATATTTTTGAGTTATGTTCCAATATGTTTGATTTGTTTTAGGCCAATTGTGAAAGAATTAAGGAAAAACATGGTGAATAGAAAATGTAAACTTTGTTTGAAATTTTGAAGATTTCGGTGCTTATATGGGTCTAGATTCTTTTTCCAACTGTTTTTTGGAATGCAAAATTTAAATTTTTAAAAGTTTATGTGTATTCGAATTTTGCTTTAATGTAAATTTAATTTTTGTTTAGATTCTCTTGTTGCTCCCTTTGTAAGACTTTTTTTGTTTTAAATTTTCTTATTTTCAAATTGCGCTCGTCGAAATGAAATCTTAGAATTTATAGCACCGTTTTAGATTTGTTTGTAGCTTTATTTTTTCTAAGTCCGGTTTTTAAAAAAAATTAAATTTTTAAATTACAAAATAATTTATTAAATGAGAAGCATTTGTTTTTTTAATATAACTACTTTTTAAATTTTTTTTTGTTAATTTAAATTAAATAATTTTTTTGGAATAACATTTTTTATTTTCTTAAATAGATTTTCATTATTTGTTTATTTAAAATTTGGTTGTTTTTATTCTTTGTTTTAATTTGTTAATACATGTCACTTTTTCAGTACATATTCTAAATTGTTCTTATGTTTTTTTACAATGTTTTGGAGTAAAAATGTCATTTTCTATAGTTATTTCTTGTATTTTTTTAGATATTTTTTTAGATATTTTTTTACATATTTTTTTACATATGTATGTGCACACATTTTTTTAATTTGATTGAATTTTTAAAAATTAAAAATTTTTATCTTTTATTTTATTTAACCTTTTATTTTTTTATTGCTTTCATTTTCTTTTATTATTTTAATGTTTTGCCGTAGTTTTAAACTTTTTTGTAATTTTATTGAATTTTCGTCGTTTATTCCTTTTATTTTTTACTTTATCCAACTTTTTATTTTTAGCTTTTTAATTTTCTTCTTAATTTTTTAATTTTTCTAGAAATTTGAAAATTTTTCGAATCATGGTTTATTCTTTTATTTTTTACTTAAGTCAACTGCTTATTTATTTAGTTCTTTCATTTTCTATTATTATATCTTTTTGTGATATGTATGTATGTATTTTTTTGTTTCCTTATTTTGAGATTTTTTATTTATTTTAAATTGGTATTTATTTTTAAACTTTTTACTATATTTTTTGATTCATTTGAATTTTTTCTTTCGGCCTAACATTGAAATAATGTTTATGAAAAAACACATGTACTCATACATATATTTTAATATGTAAAAACACCGGTCTAAAGTAGCAAACACAAAAAGACTTGCTTGCTATGCACATCTGCTTATTTTACATTACTTAATATTTTTTCTTTAGCAAAAATTTTCCAAAAAATTGATTATGCCGTTTGTTCCCCATGGGCCAGATATTGAAAAAAAAAGAATATCGCAAATAGACAAAAATGCACACACCGTGAGATTCACAAAAAAAACATGTTTCTTGCCAGAAATCGAGAAGGCAACTGATTCCAGCGGTTTTGTTGATGAGCTGTCTCATGCAGAGCAGAAAGACGAAGAAATTTACTTCATGTATGTATGTAAGTAATTCTTCCAATTTTTACTTTATTAACCCGCTTTCTTGCTTGAGGAACGCTCGCGACGGTTCGTGCGGAACAAAACTGTTGCTAGGTTTCTGCATAGCTTGTTTCTCATAAAAAGATGCGCAACAATGCTGCAGACAACCTCCATATGAGTTAAATTTCAATTGACCAAAAAAATATATAAGTGAATAAATTAGTTACTTCTTTCAGGCAGCATACGAGTTCGACTATTATTTTTTGATTTCTTTCAATTTCTTTGGAACGAAAAATGGGTTTCCAGAAGTAAAAGAAAATCAACCAACATAAATCATGAAAAGAGCAAATATTATAAAATGGTGTTTTAGTCATCCCCACCGAATTTTATCGATTCATTTTCTGTAGTAATATGTATGTATATTTAATTAAAAAAATGTGTATATTAAAAATAATTTTAAAAACTATTTGTAATGTAAATTATTTTGCTTAAATGCTAAGTGAGCTGTTTTTTATTATTAAGGGTAAAATAGGTTTTCACAAATATTCAACTGTACATAAAGCATAAAATAAGCTTGGATCACAGGTTTTGATTTATTGAAAAAAAAGAAAAAAAAAAATAAGTACTGCAGATAATTCTATCGAACTCTGTCAGAGTTTCCTTTTCGCATTGTACGAAAAATATGTGAAAAAATTGAATTGTTGATTATTTTTTAAGTTTAAATAGTTTAGTGTGAGGCTAAATAAATTTTATGTATGAGCGTATTCTGAGAACAAAATGTAAAACAGTTAAATGCGATTCCTTGCATAATACATATAACTATGGAGGTATTGTTTATACAAATTGAATTATAAATTGTGCGATTAATAGCAAAACTATTTTCAATAGTACGTATATGCTATAAGTGTGTGTATATTTTGAAATAATTTAAAATTTTTAACATTTAATGGAAAGCAGGAAAACCTAAACAAAGCAAAACTACTACATACATACATACATACATACCTACATGCATGATATTAAAATTCTTTGTTGTATTTTTCAAATATAATTAATTGATTAATTCATAGTATTTATACCAAGCAATGAATTGTAAAATAAAATAAAATAAAATAAAACAATAAAAACGAACAGAGAAATACAATAGCAGAAAAAAACACAGCAATAAAAGGAATTGTAATCCAGTATGAGTATGTATGATGATGAAGTAAAAGAAAAATTATAAAAAATATTCAACGGAAATGCAAAAGAAGATAATTATATTTTCGAAAGCAACACATACATACTCATAAATACAGAGAAAGAAAAAAACAAACACGAAAATTAATATAAAATATCGCCACAACTCATTTTCAAAACTTCAGTAAAAACATTTACATCTCTGCAAGCCGAAGCTACCGAAAGCTTAACGAAAGCTTGAAAAGAGTCCGGATGTTTGTTTCGATTTCTGTAACGAGTTCTTTACGAATATTCAAAGAAAATCATATGTGGTGGGGTCTCACGAACTCGTAAAGAAATTTCTGCACAATTTCTAAACAAAAAAAAAAAAATTTAAAAAAATTTAAAAAATTCTTCGCAGCATTATTTTAATTGCTTTACCGATTTTCTTCCGAAATTTCGTAAAGGAATCGAAGTGCGCACATTACATTTCATCTCAGATATGTAATTCGGCACAAAATCGGAAAGGGAAATAATGATTTCTTTACTAATTCTTCGACATTTTTACGCTATTCAGAATATTCTGAAAGCATGGTTTGCAGGGATTGTATTCCCAAATTTCTTTCAAACCCACTGAAGAATCTCAAAATTGCTTAGAAGATATGTTAAAACAACTCCAACAAAATCCATCAGTCATACACAGTAAACACTTTTTAAATGAACTACAAATAGTAACTTAAGTAAGTATGTATGTATGAAAAAAAAAAAACAAAATCCTTGAAAGCACAGCGAAAGGCAATTTAAACCAAAGTTAGTGAAGTGCGCAGCAATTAAAAAAAAAATACTAAATTAAATTCAAATTAAATATCAAAAATAAAAAATCATAATAATAATGTTTTATGGAATTTTGTAGTCGCTCGAGTGTGTACACTATACCTATATACTATTATGTAATTAAGTAAGATGAGCATACAAAAGCTAAAAAATTCTAATTGAAATTCAATCAAAAATCAAAATATTACATACAACTGATATTGATACGAAAGATATTGCGTAGAAGCCAGGTGCAATTGGGTGAAAACAAAATTGCAATGCAGGCGATGAACAAATTAATACTTAGAAAATATATAAATAATACAATATTACGAAAAGAAAAATTAAGAAAAAAAAAACAAAAATAAAAAAAAAACTTATAATTATTAAAAAAGAAATAATTGATGTCACGAAATGTGTTTAATTTGCATGTGAATATGGATGGTAATAATGACTCAGAGGATAAGTATTAGATTATAAAAATTGTGATAAATTTCTAGAACTGCTGGAATTCTCGAAATGAGAGCAGTAAAAATACTTATCGGCTGGTGGCTTACCGGATGTGTAAGATATTGCCACATACATGTAGCCTACATTCAGGCACATAGCATCGAAAATACTAATGAAAATATTTCCGCTGCCGCTCTCTATTGATTTCTGCGCGCCTAGTAGATAATGATTTTTCCCCCAGCCACGATGGCTAGCCGGATGTAAAATGTTTGATTGTGAGAACGTAGCCTATCCTTAGGGACAGAACGTTGGCAAAGGTATTTCCGCTGCCGCTTTATGTCAATTTCTGCGCGCCTAGTAGAAATGTGCAAGTTGTATATCAAAAACACATTTTGTCTTTTGCCGGATGTGATTATATGTAGCATATGCTCAGGCGCAGCCCATAGAATATTGATCAAACTATTTCCGCTGTCACTTACTAACGATTTCTGCACGCCTAGTAGAAATGTGTAGAAAATGATTTTCCCGGTGCGATCGCTTGCCGGGTGTAAAATATTTGATCATGAAAATGTAGCATACCGTTAGGGGGCAGGCCATGTAATATTGACAAAAATATTTCCGCTACCGCTTTCTGTTAATTTCTGCGCGCACAGTAGAAATGTGGATGTTAAGAGCTGAACACAATGAAAACGACTAGCTACTACGGGCCACAGCTTCCAATTTGTTATCTTCATTAGCTAAGAGCTTTGTCGATGGCGACATGAATTTTTTGAAAGAGACAACGACATCATTAATGAGCTTGACGTAAAAGAAGAAACGAATTCAGAGGGTGGCGGTGATTGTGATACCGCTAACTCTCTCTTGAAAATTTTGACAGAACTGTGACGTCATTGCACCGGCAAATCTGCGATAACGCCATATTCACGTTACTCTCCCGAATTTCTCATCAATCAGCGCAATCTTGTATTCTATCGGTCTTGCACATAAGC